CAAGCACCAGCACCCAAGGTATGTCAAGGACGAGCAGCGATACACACCCACACACCCACACGCACACACACACACACACACACACACACACACACACACACACACACACAAGCGCGCACACACACACACACACACACACACACACACACACAAATAGACAAACAAACAAACAGCAATACATAGAGATAGTGTCCCTCCTCTCTCACCTCTTTCTCAGCAATGATTTCACTGTGATGCAGAGCATACATTTGAGTGGAACATGACTCCTTGTTTGTAATCCCTGTGCACGGGAATTATGCAATTCTGTTGGCAGTGGGAAAACGACAGAAAAAGAAAAACAGAAAGGAATGGGAACAAGGTATGGAGGACAGAAAACCAAAGCAAGACTTACGTCAATAATCACAGAGGATCGGCGTAAAAGAAAAAGTAGGAACCATTCAGAGACTGTGAAGTCGTTCGTCATTAGCACACACACAAAAAAAAAAAAAAAAAAAAAACCTTGTCAGATGTAATCACTGTTAAATAACTTAAATTGTGCAAATGAATAACAAACATTTTTTCTTCAATTGTTAGATTCCAAAAATGTACCACCCAAACAGGAAAGACCTCCGCAAAGCAGGACAAGGACCAAGCCAGGACAAGGATGTGTGATGCCAACTGCCTGTGTGGTGTTGTTTGAGTGCGGAGTAAGGCAAGGACATTACAGCCGTGCAGGGCTGGGGTGGACATCACGACCGGTAGGGTTCCAGTTTTGAACACCGTGTCACGACTGCGACTGCAGTGGCTACAATGCTTGGCTCACTAGGCCAACAAGTGGACGCGCCGCAACGACGGCGCGGCGGAGGAGGGAGAGAAGAAGAGCTGGGAGAAGGAGAGGGAATGTAGAGGGAAAGGCAGTGTGCGCTCAATGCGTCTCTCTCTCTCTCTCTCTCTCTCTCTCTCTCTCTCTCTCTCTCTCTCTCTCTCTCTCTCTCTCTCTCTCTCTCTCTCTCTCTCTCGTGGTTCTCTTCGCCACATGCAATATGCCCCCCCCCAAAAAAAAGAGGCATCATATTCACACATGCCCCAGCATTTTCTTTTTTCTTTTTTTTAATGTGGTCCGATGGACCACGGATCAGATATTAAACTGATCAGAACAGATACTACACTTGATCTTAGCCAAAAGGCTAAGAAAGGTATGCCCCAGCATTTTCTGTTTTTTCATCGCATCATGAATTTGCGTCTGCGAAGATGATAATGACACATGGCCATCGGTCCAGATTCGATCGGAACACCCAAGCCGCCATTCTAATCGAATATGCAGATATGCAGATATGGGAACACCCAAGTTCTTCTATTTTTATTTTTTTTTCAAGTTTAAACACATCGTGTGTATTTGAGAATGCACATGTGTATTTTGAGAACATGTGCGTATACTTAGAACGTGTGTTCTTTTAGAATGAGCATGTCTATTTTTAGAACATGTGTGTGTGTATTTTATTTTTTAACCATGATCAGCAATTTGGGGTCGGGGGACATCGTTGTAGGACCTGGAGTCTCTGCCCACTACCGTCTTCACCAGAATAGAACGCCTGGCAATTATCGCCGTATCTGGGCTGAAAGTTGTGCCAAATACAGCTATAATGACCTGGTGTTCTATTCGGGTGAAGACGGTAGCACCGTTTTGAAACTTCGAGGGGCCGTGTGTGACGCGCTGCCAAGTGAAAAAAAAACAAAAAACTAAATTAAAAAATCCGAAAAAAAAACTACATAATGATGAAAAATCAACTGAACAACTTTTGCCTCAGGGCCACATCGAAATTCTTCACCAAATTTGAAATAAAGAATAGAATTAAGAAACATTTTTCCAATTTTTTTCTTAGTTCTTCTGGTAGCGGGCGGCCGGGCAAGTGATCCCGGGCCACTCTGGTAGTCTAGGCTTTTTGGCATTAAACCACGAGTACCTACCGCTTTCTTAGGCCGTTAACGCAGTGGATGAAAGGCCGTTAACGCAGTGGATGAATCGGCCTGCCGCGCGGGTCTATATTCATTCAAGTCAGAGGGGCCCTAAAAACGTGGTAGGTACTGCTGGCTTAATTGACATTTTCGCAAAAACGAGAAACGGGGATCTTCATCGTGAAAAAGAACAAGAAAGTCCTTCGGGACATCCGTTAAAATTGGAACGATACAGCGAAGATTAACATAGCCCCTGCGCAAGAATGACACGCATAAATCGAGAAAAAGAACAAGAAAAGCATCAGAAAGCAACGGCTGCATCCGCCTCACGAATAGATGGGAGCCAGCACATTCCAAAACACTGCGGGAGAGGTTGCCCCTCCCCCCTACCCATCTTCACCCGAATATAACGTACGGTCATTATTGCTGTATCTAGACTCAAAGTGGCCCCAAATGCAACTATAATAACCGTATCATGTATTCGGGTGAAGACGGGTAGGGGGGAGTTCTAGGGGGCGGGGGCTCAAAATCGCAACTCTCCTACAGTGATTCCCAAATTTTCAAAAAATCATCCAAAACCCAAAGTGCGTAGGGTACACAGGCAAAATAAATCGTTTGAAAGAGTAACAGATGCAGATCCCAGGGCTCGATCCCTAGACCTTACCTCACCCGTGTACAGTATCAAGTCGACCCCTGTGTGTTTTGAACCCGTGACCTGTGTCTTGGTAGCTGACTGTTGTCTGTCATAGGTCTGTGTAGCTGTCGGGTCTTGAACCGTAGGTCTGTCGAGTGGGGGTCATAGCTGTGTACAGGTCATAGCTGTTGCAACTCTGAAAGGTCAAGGTCGTAGCTGCTACAGTCCGGAAAGGTCAAGGTCGTAGCTGCTACAGTCCGGAAAGGTCAAGGTCGTAGCTGCTACAGTCCGGAAAGGTCAAGGTCGTAGCTGCTACAGCCCCAGGGCTCGATCCCTAGACCTTACCTCACCCGTGCACAGTATCAAGTCGACCCCTGTGTGTTTTGAACCTGTGACCTGTGTCTTGGTAGCTGACTGTTGTCTGTCATAGGTCTGTGTAGCTGTCGGGTCCTGAACCGTAGGTCTGTCGAGTAGGGGTCATAGCTGTGTAGAGGTCATAGCTGTTGCAACTCTGACAGGTCAAGGTCATAGCTGCTACAGTCCGGAAAGGTCAAGGTCGTAGCTGCTACAGTCTGGAAAGGTCAAGGTCGTAGCTGCTACAGCCCCAAAAGGCCAAGTCCACAGACTTCCAGAAGGTCCAGAAGTGGCCTTTCGAGTATTGCTCACGTTAGACCAGAGGCAAGTGGGCAAGTGGGTATTCCAACTTTGCTTAGTCAGCGGTACCCAGTCCCAGTCTCACTTTGTCCAGTCAGCAAGTACCATGTGGGACTGTGTGCACCATGGGCCCGGTGGAAAAGGGCAAACCAGCGACCAGCAGAAGTATAAATCAAGAGGCAGTGTCCAGCCATTCATTCAACTCTGCATGAGCCATGCGGGAGCGCTACCCAGGCGTCTTGTGCGAGGTGGTCTGCAGATGCCTGAAGTTGAAGTGGGCTACGAGGGAGAGAGAGCAGTCATCGCTGCTAGTAGTCAGTGTTAGTTGACGGCCATAGTTTCCAGCGTGTGTGTGTGTGTGGTACAGAGGGACCGTGCGTGGGATATCACGGGAGATCCAGTGTGGTGTGCGTGTGAACAGTTGTTGTGGATACAGTGTTGGACATGGGGTGTGTAGGCGCTCGAGCGCCATAGCCAATTCAAAGCGAGTCTGTATCCGAACTGTGTTCTCGGCTTGAATATCTTTGAGCTTTGTGTGGGCGCCTAGCGCCTGTGTGGTTCGCCATTTGTCTGCATGCATGCTGGACGAAGAAGAAGGCGAGTCTGATTGCATTGGTATCGGAGCTGGTTCCCGCTGTCCCACGCGCCATTGTTGTCAGCAGTGCGCCATAGTAGAAGTTGCGCCATCGAGGAAGAAGGGTCCTCCATAGCCGCGCCGCCGGAGGAAGGTGACGCGCATCTGCAAAAACCACGACGACGAAGAGAGAGAAAGAGAGAGAGAGAGAGAGAGAGAGAGAGAGAGAGAGAGAGAGAGAGAGAGAGAGAGAGAGAGAGAGAGAGAGAGAGAGAGAGAGAGAGAGAGAGAGAGAGAGAGAGAGAGAGAGAGAGAGAGAGAGAGGGGCGATACAAGATTGGTTGTGCGGTCCAAGGAAGGAGGTCGCAGCCATAGCCGCCGAGCTCGGACAAGGAGCAGACGAAGGAGAGAGAAGACATAGACGGGGTGAAGTAAGGAAGAACAAAGAAAGAAAGAAGGAGAGAGAAGGAGGGAAGCGAAGGTTGAAGGGAGAAAAGGAGTCGGCAGCCATAGCCAAGTTGAGCGCTGACCAGGGGGGGTTGACCGAGGTGTTCATTGAGGTGTTGACCAACGTTGACCAAGTCGTTGACCCGGAAGTTGACCAGCGTTGACCAGCGTTGACCAGCGTTGACCGGAGCTGTTGACCACAAATTTACCAAGCTGGAGTTGGTATACTCTCGCCCAGCCTCCAACCTATCCCCTCGCCCTATGGATGTGCCCTCACACCATGGTACTTGTTGAGTTTGTCTGTCTCTTCGTTCTGCATTGAGTCTCCTCTGTCCAGGTGATAGGAACTCTGTGCATGAGGTCGTAGAGCTGCGTTGACCAAACCCACACGGGCTCAGTAGGGCTCAAGTCCATGTCTGACGACTGACTGACCCGAAGGACAAACCCTCCCAAGGACCAATACAGACCGGCGGGCTGCTCAGTGTGGCATGGTAGGCCCAATATCCGAGTTGTGGGCTGCACAACCAGCTGTCTAAGTCTTGAGAGGACTTGCTGATCGCGTTGTCCTGTTTGCGACGTTAAAGAATTCTTGAGGAGTTATGGGGGATCTCCTTAAATGCCTCTTGATCAGCACTGAAGTCCTGTAGTGATAGCCTAGTAGTAGATTCTGGCTACAGACCCTAGTTGACAAGGTCCCAAAAGGATTTGTGGTCCTTAGAGAGTCAGTCAGTCAGTTAGTTAGTCAGTGGGTGGAGGTCTAAGTGGTGAGGAGTGGAACTGTCACTCGGTTGTGCATTTGTCACCATGGTGGACACGCATAGCGGTAAGAGCACCACCCCATACACCAAGGCTCAGGAAGAGCAAGCCGCCGCCGTATTAAAAGAGAGAAAAGAGAAGGAGGCGAAGAAGGAGTTGATTAAGCAGGCCAAGAAGTTGGCCTTACTGGAGGAGCAGGCGGTGAAGAAAAAGAAGTTGCAGGAGGAGATGGAGAAGCTGCAAAGAGAAGAAGAAAAAAATTTAAGAGCGGTAGAAGAAGAAGTGGAAGAGGAAGACGATGAAGTCCCCTTGATCGGAACGGTCACAAGAGAGAGAGGCGAGACCAGTAGCACGAAGGAGGAACCATGCATGGAGAAAAAGGTGTCTGAGTGGGTCGCCAATCTATCCCTGGGAGAGGAAGAGGCGGCGGTGTTATACGTGTCGAGGGCAGAACAGGAAGCAGTAATGAGAGAACGGGAGGAAGAAGAAGACCCTCTACGTCGCCATACGATTGAAGAGGAGAAGAAGTTGGAGTGGATGTTGCGTTTAACCAGGGGAAAGAAAAAGTGGATGGAGGCGGCAAGTAAGGTGGTGAAAGAGCAAAGGGCGCAGGTGGAGGCGCGGTCGGATTGGCAAGAGAAGATGGAAGTTATGGCTAGGAATATAGAACTCCTCGCGAAGGCCCAAGAAGAGCAATTTCAGTTCCCGACGGGCCAGGATGTATCCTTGCGATCCATACAATTGGGCTTTCGAGAATTCGCACACATGGGCACAGAAGTGAAAGCGAGGATGGAGAGCACGAAGCGATTCTACACAGGAGTCATAGAAGGCGCAAAGCTTGTTGCTCCAAGGGAGGAGGAAGCTCGCCCCCGTAGAGAGCGAGTCAAGGTTAAATTTCTTGATTCCTATAGTGGGAAAAAGGAAGAGAAATTTGATAACTGGGAGGCGAATGTTAATTCATACGTCCATCTACAGAAGATCATCCATGAGGAACAAGTCCTCGTCGCTTTCTGCGCCTTCAAGGACGAAGCAGCGAGCTTCGCCCGATCACTTGTCCGTGCAGCTAAGTGTGACAATGATATGGTAGCCTACTCCACAATCACCCCCCTCAACGAGTTTTTCAAATTGTTGCATGGAAGGTTTGCAGATGTCACCAAAGGGATTAAAGCCTCTCATAAATTGCAAACGATCCACTCGCATCAATGGAAGAGTGTCAGGGCACTCAAGCGAATGATGGGTGAGTTAGTTGTTGTCCCTGGCCATGGGGTTACTGAGCCCCAATTAGTCCAATTGTTCTACTGTGCCATGTCTGAGACCTTGCGCGAGCATTTCTTTGAGAAAAGCAAGGAGTCCACTATGACCTACAATACTCGGAGTAGGGAAGTAGTAGCTTTTGAGACCCATTCCATGCCAGCATCTACCTTCTGGCATAAGGATCTAGACAAGGGCCAAAAATGGAAAGGTCGTACCATCTCTCGCCAAATCGGGGCCAAGGATCATTTGATTCGTACCTTAGATGAAGGTGGTATGGAACAGGTCCCATATGACCAGATAAAGTGGGGCCTAGAAAAGGGGAACAGTGGCGATGGTCAGGGGAGGACCTACGCTGTTGTCGCGGCTAGGGGGAGGTCGCAAGGAAGAGGAAGAGGCCAGGGCCAAGGGGGTCGGGCCTCTGGTGGTCGAGGACAGGGCGATCAAGGGGTTGGCGGCAAAGGAAACCGCCAAGAAGGAGGCAAGGGTCAAGGTCCCCCGCAAAACCACTCTCGTTTTAACCGATCACCTCCCAGGAGGGGTGGATGGCACCCTGGCTTGCCACAAGGCAGGCCCTAGGAAGATCTGGGCCTAGAGCAGACAGTATGGTAGAAAAGGATAGACCAGGATCAGTGCATCTATTGCGGTGATATGGGGCACATCATTAAATACTGCCCCAAATATAGAGAGGCCCGGTACGCTGCACAGGCAGCAAAAGGCAACCGTCGGTGGGGGTCGCAACTGCCCTTACCCCTAGACCATGTGGAGAAGAGTGGGCGCACCACATAGAAACTCCCAACCCACATGTGTCTATGGCAGAGGTTGCTGGTCAGTGCCTAGATAGTTGTCCAGAGACTGCTTGTGTTAGGGTCTCTCTAGGCACTTCCCTCACAGGCCTGGCAGCGGAGTTGAAGGAGAGGATGCCGATCTGGGCCAAGATGAAGAAGGACGGTAAAGGATAGCTAGTTCTGGTAGATGTAGAAGTCTTTAGAGGTAGAGTTGGGGCCCTTATAGAGAGTGGCGCCAATCGCAGCTATATCAGTAGAAAAGCGCTGCAGAAGTTGAAGTTGAAGTCGAATTTGAAGGTGCAAAATTTCGAAGACCCTATAGTCAGCATCCTCGCAGACAATCACACTATGCGAGTCGAGGATTCCGTAGAGGGAGTCCAGGCGTACTTTCGCCTAGAAAAGGATGGGAAGGTAGAGAGAGTTCTTCATTCCTTGAGCCTCCTCGTAGAGGACAACCTTCCATTTGATATGGTCCTAGGAATGGACTGGGGAGAGGTAGCAGGGGCCACACTCCATTTGAGAGAGCACGAGTGTAGGCTCTCTAGTCCGTCAGGTGAAGTTGAGACCGCTCGCCTGTTCCATGTGTCAGGAGTAGATAATCCCCTGCCACATTGTTGTCTCAGTGCTCCCTCGTTCACGCGATTAGTGAGAAAGGAGCAATTAGAAGAACAGGTTTTTGTAGCCTACGTTAGGCCTGTCACTGAGCCTAAGGAAGAGAAACCCATTGATCCCTTAGATTGTTGATGTCTTCTGGCCGCCATCCAGAGACTAACGAACAGACTGAACAGATGAATAAATCCAGCAACAAGTTCGGAGAATGTATATTAGACCTGATCAAACTAACTCGAATGAGATGCTTCCCAAGGTAGCCAGCGCCTATAACAACAACATGCACTTAGCAACCTGTCGCACTCCCAACGAGTTGCATAAGTCCTTTAAACCACGTAGACCGTTTGAAGGACCGAACTGGATCAGATTCAGAGGCTACCGCCCGGTGCTAGGGATTTTGCACTACGGCACGAGAGAGAGATTGCCGTAACAGAGAACCTCAGGAAGGCCCAGCATAAGATGATAGAACAAGCCAACAAGCATCGTCGCCCATCACAGTTCCAAGTAGGCGACTTAGTCTAGGTCAAGTCAAAGGAGTTTGCTCCTGAGGAAAACATCTCGCAAAAGTTACTGCCTGCATACCGAGGACCGTGGCCAATCTTAAAAGTCAAGGATGGAGAGGATGGACCGTCCTACACAATCGAGATTCCAGCACACCTCCACACCTACCCACTTTTTCATGCGTCAAAGTTGTTGCCTTGTACCACAAGTCAACAGTTCCCATCACGGAGGTCCACGATTCCTTCGGACATGGATGGAAGGTACGACATTGATCGCACAGTAGGTGAAGATGTATTTAGAACAGGAGGTAGGGGTCAAACAGTACAAAGTCCGGTTTTCTTTTCAAGAACCGGAAGACGACCGCTGGTTCACACGAACAGAACTTCTAGAGACTGCTCCCGATGAAGTCCGTGCCTATGAGAGGGATAGGAAAGGTAAAAGTCCTGCCTTGTACTGAAGTATTCTCGGCGGACCTCGAATTTAGGCCGGCGGGAGTGAAACGGTTTTCACCGCTGCAGTAACAAATGCAGATCCTAGGGCTCGATCCCTAGACCTTACCTCACCCATGTACAGTATCAAGTCGACCCCTGTGTGTTTTGAACCCGTGACCTGTGTCTCGGTAGCTGACTGTTCTGTCATAGGTCTGTGTAGCTGTCGGGTCTTGAACCGTAGGTCTGTCGAGTAGGGGTCATAGCTTTGTAGAGGTCATAGCTGTGGCAACTCTGAAAGGTCAAGGTCGTAGCTGCTACAGTCCGGAAAGGTCAAGGTCGTAGCTGCTACAGCCCCAAAAGGCCAAGTCCACAGACTTCCAGAAGGTCCGGAAGTGGCCTTTCGAACGTTAGACCAGAGGCAAGTGGGCAAGTGGGTATTCCAACTTTGCTTAGTCAGTGGTACCCAGTCCCAGTCTCACTTTGTCCAGTCAGCAAGTACCATGTGGGACTGTGTGCACCATGGGCCCGGTGGAAAAGGGCAGACCAGCGACCAACTGAAGTATAAATCAAGAGGCAGCGTCCAGCCATTCATTCAACTTTGTGTGAGCCATGCAGAAGTGCTTCCCAGGCGTCTTGTGCGAGGTGGTCTGCAGATGCCTGAAGTTGAAGTGGGCTACGCGGGAGAGAGAGCAGTCATCGCTGCTAGTAGTCATTGTTAGTTGACGGCCATAGCCGCCATAGCCTAGAGTTAGTTTCCAGCGTGTGTGTGTGTGTGGTACAGAGGGAATTTGTGTGGGATATCCAGGGAGATCCAGTGTGGTGTGCGTGTGAACAGTTGTTGTGGATACAGTGTCGGACGTGGGGTGTGTACGCGCTCGGACGCCATAGCCAATTTGAAGCGAGGTTGTATCCGAACTGTGTTCTCGCCTTGAATGTCTTTGAGCTTTGTGTGGGCGCCTAGCGCCTGTGTGGTTTGCCATCTGTCTGCATGCATGCTGAACGAAGAAGAAGGCGAATCAGATTGCACGTTTYTTTTATTAAAAAAAAAAAAAAAAAAAAAAAAAAGGGCAACAGCCTTGAGATATCAGCTTTGAACTGACTGGCCCAGGTAATTCAGAATTATTTTACTCTGTTCATCTCATCGCAACTGGATTCGAACTTGGGATTGCATTTTAACAGTTCGGGGATGTACCAACTGAGCTGGGCTCGTCGGTAATCGTTTCTTTTTAGCTTCACGGACAAAGCGAAGTCCGCAAGATTCCCCCCACTACAAAATTTAAAAAAAAAGAAAAAAAAAAAAAGAAAAAAAAAAGAAGAACAAAAACAATAACTCCCCTATGATAGATGCCCACTGGCCCTCGTCACCAGCTGCCACACGTGCTTGGAAACCCAACTTGCACCGTTTTGAACGGGGCCAGTGGGCCCAGGCCCCTGGATCTTAAAAACACTGTTATGAGAGAGAGAGAGAGAGAGAGAGCGGAGAGGGGGGGAGGGAAGGGGGCGGGGAGACATGGTTATAGGAACTAGGTCTTAAACCACCAGTAGGAGGCCCCTCCTACAAAACTCCCTTGTTATGCAAGGAGGTCATGCCTTGAATGTACCGGCCTGGCGGGGATGGATTAAATTCCTTCGAATGCAAAGAAGAAGAAAAAGGGAAAACTACAAGTAGGGCACTGTCACAGTTTCAGTTTGCAAATGCGTTTCGGTCAGACGATATCGGGAATGTTGTGTCTAAGCAAGGAAAATCGTGAATGTATACAACCTAGCTTTAGGGTCAGAGGGGGATGTTGCAGTAACCCTGTTCAGCAGCAGACCGGGGCTCAGAACTTTGCCCCCGGTAAAAACACAGACTCTGTTGTCTGTGCTGGTCTATGTGACCGAGACATGCCCAGCCTGAGTCTGTCAAGGAGGCTGTGTGACCAAACGCGGCACAAAGGAAATTCAACAGTCAAAGTCGACTGTAGAGTCAAAGGTACCGCGCCCAGGCCTATGKTYGGATACATTCACTTGTTGTGTGCAGGTACCCAGACAGCATTCAGGGCGGGAGGAATACAGTTTCTGGCCAATCTGGGCCCTCATTCACATCGAGATCTGGACGGTGCAGGACTTCAGCACCCAGGGTCCAGACCCCGCATCCACGCTACTTAAGAGTTGACTTCCTGGCTGGAAGGGCATTCGGTCTTGTGTCAATGCTGCACGCATTGACTTTGACATTGACGCGGCGACGCTGCAACGCTGCGACATTGCGACATTGACTTGACGCTGGCTTTACGCTGGCATAGGAGGAGGACAGCACGGCGCTGCTGGCTGGCATAGTGGCTGGCTGGCTATGGTCTTCTGGGCATGCTGACGTGGCAGCTGCCAGGCGCCGTTGCTGACGTGGCCGCTGCCACCTGTATATGAYTGATGACGTGGCGGGCTGCGAGATTGATGAGGCTGTTCTGATTCTTCGTCACTTCGGAAGGGGATCAAGACTGTGGTTATTGAGGATACGTACCTGGTTGATGACGATACTCTCCAGTTGCTGATGTAGACAGGTTGACGTGCCACGTGGCACATTGAGGAAGAACTTCAGACATTGTATTCAGACTATTGATTGATGAGGTGTTGAGGAGGAGGAGGGACCCGAAGCAGAAGTGGGCTGTTGTCTTCATCTCTCTCCTTTGTCTATTCCCCCTCTCTCCTCCTTCGTCTGTGTATGATTCTCACCTCATTCTATCATCACACACATTGCGATTGTTTGTCATTCATCAGCAGATCGATAATCATATGGACTGGTAATGTTGACGAGTATCATCACGTCTGGGCTCATTGCAATTTGGTATCGGAGCAGATCTTCCGATAATGTGACTGACACGACAACGACAAGTGTGACATCTACAACGAAGACTGACGTGGACAAGACTGTGCACGTCAGATGCTGACGTGGCATTGACGTGGCATTGATAATAGCGCACGTCATATGCTGACATGGCATCAACGTGGCATTGATATATCGCTGACGTGGCCAGTGGATGATAGCAGATTGATGATGTGGCATTGCTGACTCACCATTCGGTGAGATAGGAGGCTGACGTGGCAGTGTCATATTCAGTTACCTGGCTTACGTGGCGCATTGGTACTGCTCCTGAGGTGTACCCCCTCGATGATGATGACTGGAGTATGGTGCTGACGTGGCAGACAGAAGTGCTGCTGTGTTGGTACTCCAGGGGAGACACGTGGCAGGTTGGAACTTCGACTTCGGGGCAGGCTGGTATTTCGATTTCAGCATACATTGCTGAAGTGCACCCCATTGATGATATTGATTAGACCTGCTGACCTGGCATACTCATCAAGTTGCTGAGTTGGCAGGCCAGGGGTGACACGTAGCAGGCACGACCGTGCCTAAGTGAGGACAGCATTCTGATGACTGAAGCGGCACGGCAAGAAGACTGACGTGGCTGTGGTGCCGAACGTCAGATTGGGTGCTGGTCACACAGGACAAAGAAGGACGAAACAGAAAGAAGGGGAAAACGCTAACTATTGATTGATTTTTGTTGGCGGACTTACCTGTTGTCTGGCTGTGTTGTGTACCTGTGTACTCACTTGTGTTTGTTGTTGATCATGCTGGCCTGGAGTCGCGGTACCTGAGATAGAGTAGGATGTCATCACATTGAAAACAGAACAGCAAATAGAATTAGAAAACTTCTGTTCATTATTATTATTATTATTTTTGACTCAGACAGCGTGTTGGTCCAGGTAACCGTAGAATTATTGTTTATCTTTTGCGGTAGAACAGTGTGCTGATTCAGATGACCGTGAATCATTGTTTATTTTGCGGTAAAATAATCTGGCCAACGAATTTTCGTGTTTCCGTTCTCTCAAAATGTCTTACTTCTGGAAATCTTTGCAACAGTCTATCTTGACGAGATTTGTGACCACTTTCTTGTTCCCTATTCCAACTGCACTTTCCGTTGGGGAAGGACCGTCTGAACCTAGGACAAGGGGACAGGCTGATAAGAAGAGAGAAGAACTGTTGGCTTTGTGGAGTCAGTTTCTGATTGAGGTACAGCTGTCTGGACCAGATGCCGAGCAACACATCTGTGATAATTTCGATCTTCAGGGGGTTGAAGACCGCCTAAAGAAGTCTATCACGGTTGTGGAGGTTGTGGCAGCCGGTACAGAGGCCTCCAAACTGATTGCTCAGGRGCGACAGGCTCTAGACCAGCTTGCTTTGAAGCAACTGGAAGAGATCATGGAAGCTACTCGTAAGGGGGAAGTAAAACCAGAAGGAAGTGAAGAATCGATTGATTCTAATATCCAGCAGCTAAGAGATGCTTTGCCTGATGTCGAAGAAGAGAACAGGAACAGCGACGAGGACAAAGAGTTAAAGAGATAAGGCAAGTCATAGGAACAGAAGTAGGTGAACAGACTGACATGTCACAAACGTTGGCTCATATTGTGACATATCTTACCTTTCTTGAGGAGAAGATTGATAGACAGCAAAATCAGTTGGATGAAATCACTGTTGGATTGAGAACAATTGCTAATATTGTGAAAGGTAAGAATCAGATTCAGGGAGAAGAAGAACAAGAAGAGAAGAAGGAGAAGAAAGAAGTAAAGAAGTTGATGGGGGACGCAATGAAGTCTGTTGGTCCCGTGATAAAGACAACGACTAATGGAAATGGATCCAATGGAGATGGATCCAATGGAAATGGATCAAGTCAACCATCTACTCCTCACTCTTCTCATTCTTCTAAGCCTACTCCTAAAGAAACTCCAGCAAAGACAAGTGAACCAGAAAAACCGAAGAATAAAAAAAAAGTGAAGATGAAGTTGCCGTTTACGTTTTGCAACAAGAAAGAAGAAAGTCTCTTGTTGTGGATTGCAGAAATCCAGACCTACGTGAGTACCGCACCCGTCGAGCCGGAGTCCCAAGTCGCGTTCACCACTTCTTGCATGGGTGGTGAGGCCAAGCAATGGGTGTTGGCCGAGGCCAATGCGGCGGGTTTCAAAGATATCAGTGAGTGGGCAAAGACTCTGACACTGAAACAGTTCTTGGCGAAAACCAGGGACCGTTTCCTCGACAAGACGACGACCGACAAGGCCTTTGACCAGTTGACGTCAATTGGTCAAAAACATTGGACGTCAGTTGAGGCTTTTTCCCGAGAAGTTGACCGATTGTTGCAGGTTCCTGGATTGAACCTGCAGGACAGCCAAGTGTTGTACATTTATTCCCGCGCGTTGCCTGAGCCCATCCGAGGACATTTAGTCACCGAAGCGAAATCCAGTAAGTACAACTACAGGCAATTTCGTGACCTCGCTTTGCAAAGGGAACAGATGACTTCTCAAGTCAAGAATTCCTATGCAGCGGTAGTCAAGTCTGGAGGAGGAGGAGGAAGACAGTATAATGGGAAACGAGTTCTCTGGCGACAGAAGCGCCAAGACCACACCCTTGGCGTCTTTGATGACGACACAGTGGAAAAGTGGCCGAACGAGGAGAATGATAACAACAGTGACTCCGGGAAAGGGGAAGTCACTGTTGTTGTGGCCAATAAGGGAGGACCACCCAGGACAGGAGGGAAGAAACAAAGAGCGTTCCCATGGCACCCTGGGATTGCTGATGGGAAGCCATGGGTCGAGATGGGTATGACTAGAAAGACTTGGCAGGAGCGGATGGACAATGCGCAATGTCTCAAGTGCGGCACAGCGGGACATGTGATCGCCTACTGCCCTCAGATCCGAAACCCAAAAGCGAACAGCCAGTAGGAGTAGCATCTGCTCCTACTAAGATTAAGGGTAAGAACGAACAGACAGGTAAGGCGCCTACGACCCCTTCCTACCCTTCTTCTCAATTGGCAGAGGATGATTCTTCCTTAGCCCATCATCCAGATCGCCCTGACATTGTCTTATGTTCTGTCTCTCTGGATGACTCCCTTGATGAGCTAGATAACGAATTGCTAGCATTACGTGGCTCATGGGCTCGAAAGGCGAAGACTAAGGGCGAGTTGTTGTTTGCAGATGTTGAGATCGCACGAACACGAGTTTGTGCGATGTTAGACCCAGGATCAACGAGATCCTACATCTCCAAGAAGGCAATCCGTAAGTTGCATCTCGGCATGAAGGTAAAAGACTTGTCTCGACCTATAACGTTAATGTTAGCAGACAAGAGTACGATCACTGTCTTTCAGTGTGTTGATCGTATTAAGTGTCAGTTTCGAGCGAGGGAAGGAAAGAAGATTGTGCATGAATTATCCTTCCTCATAGAAAATAATTTACCTTTTGATATCATTATGGGTATGGACTGGCACGAAGAAGCCAACCTGGACATTGATTTCAAAAACAAGATTGTGCAACTCAAAGATGCGCAATTAGAACTGAAACCAATTAAACTATATCATAAGTCTGGCTCTGACTCAAGTCTATCCTTTTGCTGTATGAGTTATCCAGCCTTTCGCTCAATGGTTTCTAAGAAAAAGTTGGAACAGGAAGTTATGATGGTGCTGGTAAAGAAAGTCGGTGAGTCTTCTTCTTCCTGTCCTCCGACAATTGAAAGTTTTCTCTCTGAATATAAGGATCTGCAGAAAGAACCCACCGGAATTACTGAACGTACTATAAAGCACACTATTGAGATTATTCCGGGTAGTAAAATTCCTAAGGGCCCTATCTATCGAATGTCTTCTAGGGAACTTGAGGAGTTAAAGAAGCAACTGCAGAACCTTACTGACAAGGGATGGATTCGCCCTAGTTCATCTCCTTATGGAGCACCTGTCTTGTTTGTGCCCAAAAAGGAAGGTGAATTACGTCTATGTATTGACTATCGAGGGTTGAATGTCGTCACTGTCAAGAATGTCGAACCACTCCCTCGCATCGACGATTTACTTGACCAACTACAGGGATGCAAGTACTTCAGTAAAATTGACTTGAAGTCTGGGTACCATCAGATCGAGGTGGAGCCCGCAGATCAACACAAGACTGCTTTCCAAACCAGGTATGACCATTACGAGTTTATGGTAATGCCCTTCGGATTGACTAATGCTCCTGCTACATTTCAACGGTCAATGAACGAGTTATTTCGTCAATGGTTGGATCAGTTCATCATCGTCTATCTGGATGACATTCTCGTGTATAGTAAAACACTAGAAGAACACGAGAAGCATCTTCGTCTTGTTTTGAGTAAGTTGCGAGAAGGCAACTTCAAAATCAACCCGAAGAAGTTTGAGTTCGCTAAGTCTGAAGTTTTATACTTAGGACATATAGTGAACCAAGATGGCCTCAGGCCTGAAGAAAAGAAAATATCAGCAATTAGAGATTGGCCACAACCTAAGTCTGTAACTGAGTTACGATCTTTTCTTTGCTTGGCAAGCTACTATAGGAAGTTTGTCAGGAACTTCTCATTGATCGCTGCACCAATGAGAAGATTGTTAAAGAAAGGAACGATCTGGTTGTGGGACAAGGATTGTGAGTACTCATTCAAAAAGGTACAGTACGCTCTGACTCACTACCCTGTTCTGAAAATTGTTGACCCATCTCTTCCCTTTATTGTCACAACTGATGCAAGTCAGTATGGGATTGGCGCAGTTCTTCAACAGAACGACGACAATGGTTACAAACCGATTGAGTTTATGTCTGCACGATTGCCATCTGAAAAGGGGTTGCTAATTCTACCTATGAAAGGGAATTGTATGCGTTAGTCTGTGCCTTAGACACCTGGAAACACTATCTATTAGGGAGACACTTCACTGTGTATTCAAACCACTCTACCCTGAAGTGGATAAAGATACAGCCTAGGCTCTCTGATAAGCTAGTACGATGGTCTGCATTCATTGATACTTTTGATTTTAAGTTGAACACTATCAAAGGTAAGTCTAACGTGGTTGCAGATGCATTGTCTAGAAGATGTGATTTCTTTGGTGCCATTATCTCTTACCTAGACGTTGGGAATGATCTGAAAGATAGAATCCGTCAAGGCTATGTTAATGACCCGATATGGAAACCTATCATGGATGTCGTTGCGAAAGACCCGAGTCTACTTCCCAACTATAAGGTAATTGATGGTTTGCTTTTCTTGTTAGACCAAAGTGAACAACGATTGTGTATTCCTCACCAGGAAGAAATCAAAAGTCTACTTATTGGGGAATATCACGACACTGAAGGTCGTTTTGGTTTCAAGAAAACTTACGCTGAAGTTAGAAAACGCTTTGAATGGAAGGGATTGAAAGAGGATGTACTAACTTATGTTCGTACCTGTCTTGTGTGTCAGAGAAACAAACCCTCACATGAGAATCCACTTGGTCTTCTCAGACCATTACCAATTCCAAGCGAACCAAGTGAGTCTATCTCCATGGATTTCATGAGTCTCACCAAAAGTCGGAATCGCAATAGTCGAGAGATGGTGACTGTAGATCGTTTCTCTAAGTACGCTATGTTCATTCCCTTACCCGCAGAAGCGAGAACGGAACTTGTGATCCAAAAGTTTCAGATGCGATGGGTAACTGAGTATGGTTTTCCTCAATCCATTGTATCTGACCGCGATACCAGATTCACAAGTATGCCATGGCAAAAGCTTATGGAGGCATACGGTACACGTCTAACCATGTCGTCAGGGCGACACCCTGAAACGAATGGACAGAGTGAACAAATGAACCATTTGTGCCAACAGCTTCTGCGCATGTATGTAAGACCCGATAAAATAGATTGGGATGAGAACTTACCTAAGATAACAAGTGCATATAATAGTAGTGTTCATACCTCTATAGGACGAACACCTAACGCACTGCATAAAGGGTGGAAACCTAAGCGTCCCATTGATGTATTGACGAGGGACCAGTTTCTTAGGTTACCTCYAGGGACCCGCGAATACGCAGTATTGTTTCAAGAAGACATCAGAAAGGTAAAGGAGAACCTAAAGAAAGCTCAGGACCGGATGATCGAACAAGCTAATAAGCATCGACGACCATCAACGTTCAAAGAAGGTGATCTGGTCTGGTTCAAGTCTAAAGAGTTTTCACTAGAAGAAAATGTGTCTCAAAAACTTCTACCTGTCTATTTTGGACCCTGGGAAGTTCTTAAAGTGATTGGAGATGCAGAGGGACCGTCTTACAGAATTGATATACCCCCTCATCTCAAGACCTATTCTGTCTTTCATGCGTCCAAGTTGCTACCTTATGTAGAAGGAGATGAATTCCCYCATAGACCATCTATGATAYCGCCAGACATGGATGGTGGATATGAAATGGACCGCATTGTAGAACATGGGTTCTTCTCTACAGGTGCACGAGGACGACCCCAGAAGCAATTCAAAGTTCGTTTTAAGAGTCRGGCACCATCTGRGGAYAGWTGGTTTAGTAAAWGGGAACTCCTTGAATCTGCTCCTGATATTGTCTCTGCTTATGAACGTGGGTTGAAGCCTTAAATGTTTCTGCGATGGAACTCGAAATTTGGGTCGGCAGGAATGCAGTAACCCTGTTCAGCAGCAGACCGCGGCTCAGAACTTTGCCCCCGGTAAAAACACAGACTTTGTTGTCTGTGTTGGACTATGTGACCGAGACATGCCCATCCTGAGTCTGTCGAGGAGGCTGTGTGACCAAACGCGGCACAAAGGAAATTCAACAATCAAAGTCAACTGTAGAGTCAAAGGTACCGCGCCCAGGCCTATGGTCGGATACATTCACTTGTTGTGTGCAGGTACCCAGACAGCATTCAGGGCGGGAGGAATACAGTTTTTGGCCAATCTGGGCCCTCGTTCACATCGAGATCTGGACGGTGCAGGACTTCAGCACCCGGGGTCCAGACCCCGCATCCACGCTACTTAAGAGTCGACTTCCTGGCTGGACAGGCACTCGGTCTTGTGTCAATGCTGCACGCATTGACTTTGACATTGACGTGGCGACGCTGCAACGCTGCGACATTGCGACATTGACTTCACGCTGGCTTTACGCTGGCATAGGAGGAGGACAGCACGGCGCTGCTGGCTGGCATAGTGGCTGGCTGGCTATGGTCTTCTAGGCATGCTGACTTGGCAGCTGCCATGCGCCGTTGCTAACGTGAAGCTGCCACCTGTATATGATTGATGACGTGGCGGGCTGCGAGATTGACGAGGCTGTTCTGATTCTTCATCACTTCGGAAGGGGATCAAGGCTGTGGTTATTGAGGATACGTACCTGGTTGATGACGATACTCTCCAGTTGCTGATGTAGACAGATTGACGTGCCACGTGGCACATTGAGGAAGAACTTCAGACATTGTATTCAGACTATTGATTGATGAGGTGTTGAGGAGGAGGAGGGACCCGAAGCAGAAATGGGCTGTTGTCTTCTTCTCTCTCCTTTGTCTATTCCCCCCCTCTCCTCCTTCGTCTGTGTATGATTCTCACCTCATTCTATCATCACACACATTGCGATTGTTTGTCATTCATCAGCAGATCGATAATCATATGGACTGGTAATGTTGACGAGTATCATCACGTCTGGGCTCATTGCAATGTATTGTATTCGAGGAATGCCATAACTGGACTTCAAACTGAAATCGGGATTGCGGCCTAGTTACCCCACCCCCCCAAAAAAAAAAAAGAATTCTTCGGCCATTTAGGGTTTAGAGTTGGCGGTACCGGTGGTTTAACCTGGTGTCCTTCGGGACATCCAGTAAAATTGGAGCGATACAGAAAAGGGGCCGCGGTCCACTACTCGCCAAGCGTGCACTAAAGCCAAAAAATATGGCAGTGTATCTTTCAACGTTTCTAGCGGAAGATTCATTCTGATTGTGCACATTTGGTGAAGAGTGGTGTGAGACCTAAGATTACCATGGCGCCTGCGCATAAGTACAAGAAAACAAGGGAAAAAAAAAAAAAAAAAAGGGGGGACACTCGTAAAATGAGAAAGGGTCCAATGTTCAAGAAAAGGTTTAACCTGGTGGGGGATGTGTTGTATTCGAGAAAGGCACTTATTCCTCCTGAGAGGATAAACCACTGGCATGTATCTGACTCATACGCCCCAATGGACGCCAGGTGTGACCAGGTGAGCCGGCAGAGCATCCCTGGCACATATCTGACCCACATTTGAGCTGGCAGAACATTACTGGCATGCACTGAGACTGAGTCAGACTTGAAACTTAGTCGCTCTGACTGCGGTCAGAAGGCCCTCGTCAGAATGTGAAGTTTTTTTTTTTTTTT